TAGACATGTGCGGGACCAAGTTTTTTTGTTACGAAGGTAGGTGTGGGTGTGGGGTGTGGGTGCGGGGTGTGGGGTGTGGGTGTGGGGTGTGGGTGTGGGTGTGGGTGTGGGGTGTGGGTGTGGGGTGTGGGTGTGGGTGTGGGTGTGGGTGTGGGTGTGGGGTGTGGGTGTGGGGTGTGGGTGTATAATCATTTAGCATTGGGATACTTTTTAAAAGCACTAGACATTTACGAAAATGTTTTGAAAAGAGCAAAGTATCATCCAAAACTAGCTATAGCATATAATAACATTGGAGAAATCTATATACGTTTGGACGATAATGAGAACGCGTCAAAATATCTTCAATATACATTGGAAATACGTCTCAAAGGTACCGTCTTGACCAACGATGATCTTGGTGCTATCTACCAGAATTTAAGAGTCATTCACTACAAAAGAAAAGAGCTAAACAAAGCATTAGAAATGTATGAAAAAGCTCTGGAAATTGACACTCGAATATTACACGCCGATCATGAATTATTGGCAAGTTCATACAACAAAATCGGTCAGGTCCTAGCTGAGATAGGTGATTTCTCGAAAGCTGTGTACCATGTAGAAAAAGCCTTGAGAATATTGCTACGCTCACAGGTCAAAGATGATTATTCACTTGTTGCTACATATCACTATAACCTTGGATGTATCCAACTTCACCTAAGCAACACTACAAAGGCATTAAAAATGGCAGAGAAGGCACTCAATAATCAATTAGTATGTGCATCTGAAAACCAGTACGTTATTGCAGCTATATATAATTTATTTTCAAATATCTATGAGAAAGAAGGAGATATTTCAAAAGTATTGGAATATTCGCAGAAAGCGGTTGAAAAAGCTAAGATTTGGGCGATGCATAATAATACCCCCCGAAATAGAACGTTTCTTATTACGGTTGTATGAATTGAAAAGAAAGTCGTCAAGCGAAGACAGTGAATTTCTGACATCAATGATATCCCAAAAAGTCTGGCTCGACAATGTCAATCATCAAGATTTTATATCACAAGCCAGTGAACAACTTGAACAAACTCCAGAAAATGATATTATAACACGTCTCGTATTACTCAACATTTTAATCACGATGCATTCGAAAACAAAGAATTATTCTATGGCAATGAAATATTTTGATGTAGCGAATGCCATATGCATTGAATTTCAACAATCCGATGTGTTACCTAAGGAAGAATTGGAAAATGTGATGATATATATATTCTACAACATAGCCAGAAGCTATCATCATCAACAAAATTGGAACACCTGATCAACCATGTTGACCAAAGCACTCGATCTTGTTTTGAGACAGAAAGAGGAACATTGCCTATTACCAGAAATTTACTATTGTATAGCATCGACTTGTATGCATCGATATGAGAGTGACAAAGCAATCTACTACTACGAATTGACTGTTAGTACTGCAAGAAAGCGATTACCTGATGATCATCCGGATATGCAAGTCTATTGTTTTCAGTTGCAGCGATATAAAACTCAATTGTTAAACAGTTCTCGGAACTAATATTCAATCATTGGTCTTTTATGAAACATTTGTAATAAGCCGAAAAAATGTAGTATATCTTAGGTCAGAATTCGCTTTTTTTTCCAGTCACGATTCGCTCAGCAAACGATTTCAATTTCGTTTTTATTTTACAGAATATCAGAAAAGTCACTTTACTTAGGGAAAATATGGATTTCTTCGTTATATTTTGACCAAATGGCATGATTTTTTTACCACTGACAAAAGAGTATTCGTAGTTCATAGGGTGAGGTGTGGGTATGAATGTGAGTGTGGGTAGAAATAAAGAGAACACACATACCCACGCCCATATCTATACGCACACGCACACTCAAACTCTCAAGGAGAGTTGCATAAGAAAGAACAATGCCATGCATATTAAAAGCCAATTTTACAACAGTCAAAATTTTGTGTCTATTATCTTTATATTTATCGATAACAACTCGTCTTGCTCTATCCAACCGTGACAAAAAACGAAAAATCAATGTTGCTGTAACTTTGTAGTGTGGACACATGGCAAACTAAATACCTTGTAATTTGAATATCTCAATCTGTGTAGGCTATACACAGCTCATATTTTAAATTTGATCTGAATATGATCAATCTCTTTAACTTACAGTACACGACGTTTCATTATTAGGTAAATCTCGTTTTTAATTAGGCGACAAACTACGAAAAGAGTTTTTTTGGCTTAAAAATAAAATTTCATTTTTATTTCCATCAACAGAACATAGTATATGTTTTCTTTAAGTAGATAGAGTATTTATCTTCATTAATTTATATTCTAATATGTGCACGAATATCTTCAGCATTGACATCAGGAAAACGATGTTCGAAAATTTTTTTATGAGCAAGCAAACCACTATAGTAATTTGTTGAGCATCAAATTCTGAGAGAAAACATTTATTACTCTATCACATGAGATATATAAACTAACAAGTCCTTCATTATTTTTGGCTGGAACATGACTCAATAAAACTTAACAACATAATATATTCATACTTTGAATATTATCTATGAACCAGATCACATGCGAAAACAACACAACATTGATAAAAAGATAATACTCAAATAAACATAAGTCTAAATAGTATAGATGTGGATTTCCATTTTACACACGCCCACACCCATACCCTTATGAGAATATACTATAATGTCTTTCAGCTTAGAAATTAGTAGATGTCCGCAAAATAACTCAGCAACGATTGTTAAAAAGAGCAAAAGATACAAAAGTTCAAAATTCTTTTTTTTCCAGTACCTTTAAGTACGGGCACCAGACTTGTACTTCATGTACTTTTACCTGTTCGATCTATGAATGACTTAATGAATTTTTCTGAATTGCTCAATTCGAAATCTTGTATTATACAATATATTCTTCTATCTGTTCTTGTATGAGTCAGGTCAATTTTGATCGATCTCATTGAAGATGACTATCGCACATTGTTCGATATACTCTCACAAATGGAAAATATGGATGGACATGGAAAATTTTAATATTTTGTATTAAGTGGTATAGACTATAATGAATTCTTGCATTCTGAATGTCAGTTTTTGTTTTTATTTTGATGGATTATTTTTTAAAACATATTTGAAAACCTAAAGCCAGCGAACCCATTTTTTTTCTCTATGACAATGTAGTCTTTTAGTTTCAGCAACTGACCATGACGGCCGGTTGGACATGCCTCTCTTTTGACCTTCTTACGATCGTGATCAATATTAGGAGGATTTCATGCACAATTGAAGGAGCTCCATCGTGTTTCATATCTTAATCCCGTATTGATTGCTTGAAAAGATTTTTTTTTTGTACATTGTCCTATTATGGATCAAAATACGAAAAGTTCATTGGTCGTCTCTGCACTCACTTTATATAAATATTTAAGTTTTATTGCAACAGCAGTAGATTGCAATCAACAATCGATTAGTATAACATAGCTAAACATGTTCTTGTCATTGAGAATATCAGAACAACAACAATTGTTGCTAAAGTCAACTTTGCTCAAGTGATCTTTGCAAAATCGTAAAGAAGAATTGATTGAGTCTATATACATCAAGATTTGCCGTTGAATGCAAACAAATTTCCTTTCTCGAAAGACTTCATTTAGCATGATTTTCCTTAATTACTCTGCAAACTAAAATCAATCAATGTTGTTCACAAAAATAATCAGAAACTGTATTCGTCGAGAGAGAAAGAGAGACAATACTCTTTTTAATACAAGTTTCCAATGAAGTCATTTATACACATATCAGTCTATCTACCTTCACCATGATATACATGGTGCAACGAGAAATGAAAAGTTCAGAGTGTTTCTACCATTTGGCACAATATTTATTCAACTATTCTATATCTCCAAACCTGTCTCTCTCATACAAAATACGAACTTATGATATAGGAGAGAGAGAAGATGGCACAAGAGAAAGTAACAATATTATGACAAAGTGATATAATTATCGGTACATACAGTTCTTTATTACATTCTTTCCTCTTGTTGTTGTATTCTTTTTCTTTTTGATATATTAGGATGGTCAAACTAGGATACTTGTCGTACAAAGTTTTTCTCTCCTTACTCGGGACCTATTAGTTGTTCTTTCCTTTTCTTTTTCTCTCGGCGATGTAATCAGTAGAAGAAATTCTCAACAATGATGATACTTTGATAGGAAAATTAATGGAGGATAATTTTTTATTCTAAGAAGTGTTCCATATGGAAAGTACCATTTTCTGTATAAATACGTCGACACTAACCCAGTAGTTAATATATCAAAGATATCATACAGCAGCTGTTCGAGTCAACTGAATAAGTACAAACATTATTATTACTTCTATTTGTTTTTTTTTATTTGACAGAAGATAACGACAATTGAAATCAAAAGCACGAACAATTTCACACGTTAAAGGTTGAAACAATACCAAATTGCTAGTTGCCGTAAAGCATATTCCTTTCTCTTCGTTTCGTTGACTTAGCTAGATATGAATCGGTCGTTGGTAAAACTTTTGATTGTAGCATCATTAGGACTTGTTTTATTATTACAGTCTAATGTGAATGGTAAGAAGTAATACTTAGAAAGAGCAGTGAAATTTTACTTTACTTCAGGGCAAAGCCAAGAAGGAGAATGTGAACCTGGTATGTGTCGTTCAAAATGGGGCTTCTGTGGTACAGGTCCTGATTATTGTAGCAATACGGATCCACAATCAGGTATTTCTGAAAAAAAACACTCAGTCCTAAATTGAAATTTGCCATGACTCTCACAACTTAAAATTCTATTCAAACACCCCATCTTGTGAATAAAAATTAGTGCTTATGTGGATGGCGAATTCTGAACTCCTGAGGAACTCAGAACTGAAAATTTTATTTCAAAAAATAACAGCAGTGTTCAGACTTCCGAAAAAGGAAATTTTGGAAGTTTCGGAAATTTCAAGCACTTGTGTTTTAAATTGTTTGGTATTTCCCAAAATTATATAATTTCCGAAATTTCTGAAATTTCCAAAATTCTATACGTAGCGAAATTTCCGAAATTACAGAAATTTCTAAAACTTCTAAAAGTTCTAATATTTCTAAAAGATTTTCATATGCTCTGCTATGTAGTTATCGAGTTGATGGAAGCTTCGGAAATTTCTGTAATTTCCTTTTTCGGAAATCTGAACATACCTCATTTTCTGAGAGGTTCCTCAACTGTAATGGTCTATTGCGATTCAAGAGTTCAGAAATCACGGAATCTGTATACATTTATCTTGTTTTGTGATTATATCAATTTTACTTTGTAGCACGACAAAATCAAGGTGAAGAGTGTCCACCTGGTATGTGTCGTTCTAAATGGGGATTTTGTGGAACTGGTCCGGAATACTGCGAAGGGAAACATGACTCTTCAAATTCCACTACAAAGCCACAGCTAACTCGTAATTTACAAAATGCTCACATTAACACCTTATTTTTGTTAATATGTCAATCTTGCTTTTTTCTAGGAAAAAAGTGTCCACTTGGTATGTGTCGTTCAAAATGGGGTTATTGTGGAACTGGTCCGGAATACTGCGAAGGGAAACATGGCTCTTCAAATTCCACTGCAAAGCCACAGCTAACTCGTAATTTACAAAATGCTCACATTAACACCTTATTTTTGTTAACATGTCAATCTTACTTTTTTTCCAGGAAAAAAGTGTCCAGCTGGTATGTGTCGTTCAAAATGGGGTTATTGTGGAACTGGTCCGGAATACTGCGAAGGGAAACATGGCTCTTCAAATTCCACTGCAAAGCCACAGCTAACTCGTAATTTATAAAATGCTTACATTAACATCTTGTTTTTTGGACAAGTCAATTTTCCTTTTTTTTTTTTAGAAAACAATCAAGGAAAGAGCTGTCCACCTGGTATGTGTCGTTCTAAATGGGGATTTTGTGGTACAGGACCGGAATATTGCGAAGGAAAACATGGTTCCTCAAATTCCACTGCAAATCTACAGACAACTAGTAATTTTAAATGTTCACATTTAACATCTTGTTTTGTTGATAGGCCACTTTCGATTTTTTCTAGTAAAGCATCCAGGAAAGGGATGTCCAGCTGGTATGTGCCGCTCGAAATGGGGTTATTGTGGAAAAGGTCCGGTATATTGTGGAAACACGCCTTCAACTTCAGTTGATCATAAACATAAAGAAGATCGTTCGCAAAGTCAACGACCGATATCTAGTGAGACATATTCTTCGAACATGACGTATTTTTTGTAAGAAATAATTAGCTGCTATTTGTCAGTACATCTCAAGCATGAGTCACCTAGAATATGGTCTTTATGGTACAAATCGTGAGCATTTTAAATATGATGGAGAGACCTTGGTATATCCCTATTCAAGTTGGTTTGATGACTAAGATCATCACATTGAAAGTTTCTTTTAGTATCACACACTGTGGCAGATATGTCGAAATGTGTGTCACAGTCTGTTCAACATTCGTAACTAATAGACCTTTTTTGCTTTTTAAAAATTCATGTCACGAATAAAGTATAATTAAAGATTAAATTGCTAGAGGAATATTACAGTCATATTTGTAGATACTGGCTAGAATATCACGACATTGTAGGGCGAGCACTAGCTGCAAGAACATTTCCCTCGTTACATCCTTGATTGATGAAAATTGCAGTTTTGCATACATTTTTGTTTGAAATTTTCTTAAAACGAAACTGATACTAGGGAGTAGAAGAAAAGATCATCTTGACTCATCATTTTGTTTCATTAGGACTCTCTTGACTTATACAGCTCATTTTCAATATGATACGTTTGAGTTGGATCAATGACGTCTCGATAAGAACTTGTGAAAGGACTCGATCAATATTGTTAAGATCTAGTCATACATATTAGTTAAGCAACAACTATACTATTTCTGCTTATCAGAAAGTAGTAAAGACACTTCAGGTTGATGAAAGAAGGAGAAAAAAAGGTGGTCAATTGTTTCTTAATCTCTAGCTGTAGAAATTATGCTTGTTCGAGACAGAAATAGATCTTCATAAAAAAAGCAATAATGACTTTTCTAAATTATCAATATTGTTTCGAATTACTTTTTTTTTCCTTTAGGAGACACTTTTATAGGAGAAGGGATACATTATATTGTCAGCGTTGGCTACACAGCATGTGGAACAATGCACAATGATAATGAATATATTGCTGCACTGAATGCAATACAATTCGATCGTCAAACACCAAAAAGTAATCCACAAAAAAATAGCTTATGTAATAAGCTAGTCCATGTTCACGGTCCAAATGGATCTGTTACAGTGAAAATTGTTGATAAATGCCGTGAATGTCGTTATGGCGATCTTGCTTTATCTAAAGTTGCTTTCAAAAAAGTCATTGGAATTATTGGTGTTGATCGTGTAAAAATCAAATGGAACTGGTTTTGAAAATGTGTCAGTTTTAAATGCAGACCATTTTATTTTCACGTTTTTTTTTGTACAAAAATTGCGAGTTTTTGTTGGATTTTTTTTACTTTGCTTTTTATTCATTTTTCTGTCCAACTTCATCACACTTATGCGCAAAAGTGGTTAAATAATTATTTCAATCGAACAAAACACTTATTCTACATCAAAAATTTGAGTTTTATATTTATTTATTATTTATTTCTATTAGCATCTAATGTTCGAACTTTTATTTTTAATAAATAAAAACAATAACTTTCTTTTAAGTATCAATCGATATTATATATCCATCGATTGATAGAAATCAATAGCAAAAAAAAAAGAAAGAGGATAATATGAGCTGGTTGGAATGATAGATATTGTCGACTTGAAGGTAAAAGCATCCATCGTACCAAACATTTGAGTATAATTAAATAGTTTTATACATTTAAACTAGAAATATTTAGATTGGTATGAAATTCTAAAGTTACTTCGAATAAAAATGATTGTGTTTCTATCTGTTGAGTAATAGAATGGTTGATAAACATTTTATTTCTCAAATCAGAATTATTACAATAGATGATATTGACAAGCATTATCAAAATAAGTATCAGTGCAACACGATTTTCAGTAATCTCATAACGATAGAAAACGTAAGCTTCTTATTTAAAGAGAAATTTGGTAGTAATAGAAGGTAAATACATTTTACATAAAATATATTTTTTCCCATCGAATAGACATTTGATATGGGTGAGATATGCATACTTCTTTTTTAATGGAAGTTTATTTTTTCCATTTTAAATTTAATATTCTATTTTTCTTTGCTATTGAACTATCAATACGTAAGGTTAGGAAGACAGAATGCAAATACTTCAGCTATGACTTCAAAAACTTCTGAAAATTGTTCGCCTTGTAAATGAATAACAACTTGCGTGTATGAGAGTATAGTGCTCTTTACACATTATGTTATAATGGCCTTGTCGCTTGAACGTTCTCATGAACATTCAATCTGTTTCATGCACTGATCTTGCTTTTTAGATAATTGTGTAATGTTTCAAAAAGAGAATTCATATATATTCTGAATCGAAAAAATAAGTTGATATTTTCTATTAAACACTCATCTTTGGCTTTATATTCAATTGGTCACAATCCTCTAATGAAATCGATCCTACAATGTTGATTGTGTTCTATATAGCAGAATTCACTTAGTTTTACTAGTTTTGTTCAGTTTAACTGTATTTCTGGAAAATTTCAAAAGTTTTTTTCTTTTAATATGGTTCGATAGAAAATTGATTACTCTATCGAGCTGCATAGTTTTAGTTTGATTGATTTCACATCTTGACTAAAATTTTAAAACATTTGCATGCTCATATTTCAATTAGAATAAATTCAATTTTCGTGAAAATAGTTTTTAGATTGCAGAGATCCATCAAACTTAAAGTTCTAGAACGTGTTGAATAGAATCGTTTCGAATCGAATGAAAAATACTGACTTCTAGTTTTATTCGCATAATCGAAAATTTACCTACAAGATCTCAGCTAAATCAGACTAAAAATTTCATGAATCGATAGACAAATCAACGCTCTAGCCAACTATACATTAATGAAAAAGATTTTCATGCTCAACCGACTATAATTTACTCGAGAAAATCTACTATTAAAAATTCTACAAAACTAAATTTAGAAATTCAGTCAAAATGAGGAATCAATCCGATGAAAAATATACAATTCGATAGAGAAATGAATGCTCTATTCAACCATACAAAAAGAAGAAAAAAAAACTAGTAAAAATAAGTGAAACATTCTGTAGAATTCACAAATAAATTTTGACGTTTGTTTTGTTTTCAAGTGAAAGTCAATCTGTTAAAAGATGATTTTGTATGATTCGGAGTTCTCATAAAATGCATTACCTTTTGACTACGTCAGAGTAGGAGTTCGAAGCTATGGGCAAGTCTCTAATGGCGATATTGCTATCAATATAACTCTATATCATTTGTGTATCAAATCCACATTGTTATAGAAGTTAGGTTGATAGAGATTGAAAAGAAGACCTCAATCGTATCAGGTTTGCCAGTGATTATTCCAAACAGTGTCAACAAACTAATTGACTGACTCTAACGGCTATCAATTAAAAGATGTTTGTGGGTGTGGGTGAACAAATCAATTAAGATACACGTGATTGTTTGATTGAAAACCGAATGAATATGAAATATGTCCTGTTCTTACGTATTAAGACAGATGAACGAATATTCATGTGATTAGTTCACCAATTGTTAATTTTGATTGAAACGTTATTCGATTAACGTTCGACTGATTTTAAGTATTGAGAATCAACAGGAAAGAAAAAAATGAAACTATTTTTCACATTGTTTGAATGATGTCAATACAAATTTTGATTTGGAAAGAAAAGCGTATTTACTGAATGTGAACTTTTCATTGTGTTACAATTAATCTTTAGATAATTGTCGATTTGTGTTGAAATCAAGAATTTCATTCTCACTTTGTTAACATGTGTGCCTTATGATGATTTAACTATATTTATCATCATAGTTTTCAATTGTTTTTGAAAAATTACTGTTGAAATAAATAAATAATCAATTCAAACGATCATATACAAAAAAAAACAGGAAACATCTAATAAAATAAAATGTTAAATTCTGTTTCTTGTTTATCCATGCTGCTATAATAATATTCTATTCTTATTCTATCATTAGAAATTTGATTTATTGTAAATCCACTGTCGAAACCATCACGTGTAATATTTGAAATATTTAATATTAAATTGGGATATTTTATTTCAAATTTTGTTGATAAAATTATTGATTTTTCTGTATTAAAATGAATTAATAATTGTTTTCTATTTGAATCATATTGAGCTCGACTAACACGTATCAATGGATATTCAACAGCTAAAACTTCTGGTTCATGATCAAGAAACTTTTGATAAAATTTCGTATTATAAATATTTCGTAGAAATTCTCTTGCATTATATCCATTTTCACCCATTAACAATGATAATAATACACTTGTTGTAACCCAATTTGAAAACATTGTATTTGTTGCATATAATAATATGATTCAAAATAACCATCATTATCTGTATCTAAGAATGTTCCAACATTATTATCAAACCATAAATAAGTACAATTTAATTTTTCTGTTACTTCTATTGAACATTGTTTTTCAACAATTGGATAAAATGATGTTGCTAGCCATTTAGTGAATTGCATACGATCACCAATATAACCACCACTATCTAAAAAACAGCCTGGTATTGTATGATTTTCTGATGGTTTCCAATATTTATTTTTATACATAATTTTTCATCCATCACAAATAAAATTTGATGTTTCATTATGATCAAACCATGAAGACATCCATGCTAAAGCCCATCCATCATTACCTGTTGCTGCAAAATATGGAATCCAAGTGTGAGTAGGTCTGTAATATAACATTTTAAAATATCGATCTTCTTTAAACATAGGTATATCTTCTAGAGCATGTTCTATTAAAAAAATTTTTCATTTAGATAATATTCGAGAAAAATTTGTTTTACTATTACGAACAATATCATAGAGTTTGAAACCAATATGTGGATGATTTTGACATATAGTATAAACCCATTCAGGTTCACAAGATACACCAGCCGATGATTCTTCATTCATTTGGTAACAAATAGCATATGCTAATTTTGTTGTACTATAATGTATTTTAGTTATTCGGTCGTTATCTTTATCCCATATGAAATCGAATCCATCAATATCATATGTGAAATCACCTGAAAGACTCTCATAAAGTGTCAATAATTGCAATAAATGACTACTATACATTATATTTTCATGGCAAACAGGATCAGGAAATGTATGTACATTTTTCCAATAACGGTCAATATATCCCCATACTTTGATATTTAGCATACGTTCAATCGAATCTTTCAATATTTTTATTGCTAATTCAAGATAATTTGGTGTTCTATAAACTAATGCTGCTGCTGTATAACCAATATGAGTTAATGAATATCGAATAGAGCCTAAATCTAGTTGAGGACTATCATAATTTTTTTCCCAACCATTCCATGTTAGATTCGTTGTTGTTGTTGTTGTTGTTTGCATATAGATTAAATATGAAATGAATCGAATTAGTTTCAATTCTTTTTCAGATAGTAATTGATTTGTATCATCTTTATTATTTACTATAGATTTTTGAACTTGTTGAAATGATTTCTGGAAATGATCATTTCCAAAACTTTATGATATAGACTAAATAAAAATAATAAACCAGAAATAATATATCATCAATGATTGCAAATGCATATCGATGTCTTATCGTTCATGCAAAAAATTCCAATAAATTACTTGAAAAATATGGTCAATACTTTCAAAAGATATTCGACTGTAATTACTAAAGAAAGTCATAAATGGAGTGATCTTGTGACAATAAAATATGAATTCATGTGATAAGAATGACAAAAACTATTTTCTCTATATGATAAGAAGGACTAAGAGTTTGTTTTTATCTATGTTGATTTTTTCACATGACGATAAAACAATAAATATCCTTAAAAATCGTCGTGCAATGCTTTCAAATCGAAGAAAATTAAATCAATTTTTTTCCAAGTTTTCTGTACATTGTTTGATAGAACAGCTGTAGAGTGTATCGGTATGGATGTCCATGTCGGTGAATTGCGGATGGGTGCGGGTGTTATTAAAGAGAAGATCGAAAGGGTGAGGTGTGGGTGAAGAGAAGATCAAAATCACACCCACACTCACACCAACACCCGAGTCTATGGATTTGGGAGCCGAAAATCTATGATCTTTATGTGCACAAACGTTGCCAAAGTTGAATAAAGAATTCGATTTGCATTTGACTAGGTTTAGTGAATCTATAGTATTGAGGATTTTCAATGCAAAATAGAGCTGATGACAAGCTTGTCATCTAATGGAACAGTTTATTCAACGATTCGTAGCTTATCTTCATGGGTGACAATAAAAAAAACCTGATATAATGGAAATTGTTTAGGTTTTGAAATCAGAATAGATGTTAGTGAAGTACAAGATGAGTATTCCCTGGACTGAAAAGCTAGGGTCTAAAAGCCGTAAGTCATGTGCGTATGTCTTCCTGAAACAACTATGTGATACGGAGGACCGTTGCCATATTACAAAAGGATCATTTTCACAGTGCAAATTGCCATTTCTATGGTACAAGTGACCAGTTCTTTGGGACGTATGACACTTTCGATGGTAAACTTTGTCATTTCTGTGGTAGAATTAGGCATTTTCATGAAACAAAAACTATTAAAACTATATAAATAACTATTCTTGTGTTATAGAATATCACTTTTGTTTTATATAAGGAGCAATTGTAGTGCATTAATTATATCAATATATCTTTTCGGTCAACTCAACGTACTCTATACTACACATCAATCAGCCTAGGGTTTTGTAAGTTGGCTTTGAATATCGATGAATTTTACTTGTTGATAATTAGATGTTCGTATTCTGTTCCGTTGAGTAGACTTGTTATTATATTTCTAATGGAAATTAATGTAATATTGATTGAAGTTTCAGTTCTTATAGTTTATGAATATGAATTCTTCTTCATTTGTGGGACATCAAAAAACAAAGAATGATACAATCCAAATAATATAACAACTATTCGCATAGAAATAAACAAACAATGTTTCCAGAATTGAAATGATGACATCATTTTTATTAAGTAGTTAAGAATAGCTGACTAATCAAATAAAATCAATTTCATTTTAATTACTTTTGAATGCTGTTTAGATTTGTATAATCTCTATGAAGATAAAAACTACTCAACAAACTATCAAATAAGTTGTCAATGAAGATCTACATTTTCTTTTGGGTGACTTTTTCATTTACATACTCAATGATATTGACTTGACCGCTTTTGTGTCTTGTCAACAGTGATAGATAAAAACAAAAAACAGCATATGAAGGTACATATATATATATATATATATCCGAAAAGAAGATGTCATAGAATCGTACAACAACGAGAGTAACATGCAAATCGCTCTCCAAAGCATCCACAACAGTTGAGTGGATAATCATTTTCATAAATCACTAAACCTTTTCCATGTACAGGGTACTGACAAAACCGAAAGTTGTTACCTAGAATTAGAAATTGTTATGATGAATAGTAGCATAGAACTTTAGATTACCTAATGTAGAATCTCGTTTATTCATATATTTGCTGTCGAGAGTGTATTGAACTTCTTCAAAATTTAATCTTTCTACTGTGCACATTAATCGACGCATTTTGTTATTCGATCTTGTGTTTGGTTGAAGAAGTTTCTCTTGATATTGCCTTTGAAGATTACCGTTGAGTTGAATGCCTTCGTTGGCTTCGTCGGACTGAAGTGATTGAAGAAATTGGTAAATGGATGATTCTTTTGACCATGGCTGTTGATTGTCTGACCAGAAGGGCGTACGCTGTGCCTTTTTTATCCGTTTCTTCGGTAGAAATGAGTTCTGGTAGTAGTTCGTAGTCGTAGAGGAATACCACTTAATTCGTAAAGTAGCCGAATGATAGAAACCACCGCCACCTTTACAGTCGGAACAATGGATTTTCCCACCACCTTTACATGAAGAACAACGCACTTTACCATTGTAACACCCACATATGATAATTTGTGTTGATGTCTCTGTTCGACCACGTCCGCTGCATGATGAACATGTAACCCATCCACTTCCATTGCAGCCAGAAGCATTACAGGTTACTAAACCTTTTCCTCGACAATTATCGCATCTGCTTAAATAGTTACAATGAGACAATGATCTATCAGATTTTGCATTGTCAGATGCTGGGATTGGAACTTCATAATCCCATATATCACCTACTGGTTGGCCACCACGTGTTGTGCTCTCGAACAATCGACCTATAACATAACATCGCCTTACCAGCAATAATATATGACTTGTACACTTATTAATCTTTGCTTGAGTGTGAAGTAGAGTTCTATGTAGGAATGACTTATCCGTTGGTCGTTTATTGCTATAGTTTCCGAAAGACTTACATCATTCCTATCAGTATTTTAATTTTGTTCATTTCAAGAAAAAGGACTCATGTTATTGAATATTATCTTCATGAAATAACACATTTCTCATAATGTGTAATATCCGATCAAAATTATACAGACAACAGAATAAAAGACAAATTCTTGGACGGCATAATTTAATGATAACTAATTGAGACTATCGGATAAAAAAATAATTTTTATCAATTTTATTTCAATTAATTTATGCAGTTGTCAATCTAAATTAGTCACGTAGTTTTTCCTGCTTTCAAATTTGCTAATTTCTTATACATTAATATGGATGGAAGTTTAGATCTGTTAATAGGATAAATTCTCTACACATTCGTTATTGTCGTATTTTATCTCTATTAAATACTTTAATTATATTCAAGTCAATCTGTTGAATATAGAAATAGGGCAAACAGATTTTCAGGATTGAAAACTTTTCATATTGCTTCTGTTCTTAAACTCTCATGGAAATTCTCGTTTCCGATTCTAACGAGAAACATGACGGAAATACACGTGAAAAATTTGTTCCCATAGGATTCCACTATGAAGTTTCTACTCACTTACAGTAATATCAAATTGAACACAAGAGAGGATTCACTCAGAACAATATTTGAAGTTGAAATTTTCCAAGCAATCATTTTCCATACTGACCTCTCATATATACGAAAACAAAAAAGATTTAAAAAAAAATTGATTTACATCTCATTTCTTGAACAGTTTTGTACATGCGATCCTAATTAACTTTGCCAACGAGGACTGACTGAGAATTGGCATTTGATTGCTAGATGGTACATTTATCTACTCACTCGAGGGACGTTCTCAAAATGACTTTCATGAACTATATCACTGGGAATGGCAGATTATTGTTTTATTGGTAGGACTACATAGAAATAAATTCTATCTTCATGGAATCTTATAGAGAGAATTACGATAATCGGTAAAAAATCTCAATTCACAAAACAATGTATAATAGAATAAAAAATAGACACATTTACGTGATACAAGACAAGATTCAAGCCTCCAGCTAGTCATCCGAATAGGTAGATATGAACTTGATTGAACAAACACAATGTACATATATGAGAACAACCCTTTAAAGATGCATAAAATTTGAACGCCAACTTAGCATGATTTTCGGCTAATAGTAATAAGTCTACAAATGAAATTTTGTCCTAATACACTATAGACTATCATAGCAAACGAAAGCTAATAGTAATTTTTCATGAACGTATCAATGTTTTAGGGTAAGTTAAATAAAATAAAGTCATCAATGAATAGATAATGTAACGATATTTGGAATCCTCAGGTAAGTGGCGTAACCAGGGAACCGTTGATGGTGGTGATGGAGGAAGGGAGCGGTATCTCATTCTAGACGTTCAGTAAAAAACGACAAAACCAAATAAAAACTGATGACCGGGCAGGGGAATTAAGCACACGCCACTAGCTCAGATTACGACGTAAAGTAAACGAGTAAGAGACATGAACATTTGATACACATACATATCAATCATGAGACAAGAAATATCAACATGGAAGAGTAAGAAGTTACACATGTAACATTTATAGTTAACTAGTAAAAATCAATAAAAGCCAGCTGCAATATACAACTGGAACGAAACAGTTTTCATGATTATTAAGTATTAACGAATAAATGAATCTATCAGCTGTACGATTTAAAACTAGAAATGTGTTTCTTTCCATAGATCTGTTTCATCCTTAACATCTTGCCTCAAAGAACTTACCCAACGTTTCGCTATGAAGTACTCTTTCATGATGCCAAGTAGCAGGCACCTTTTTCCATTTTACATTTCTGCTTTCGAGAAGTACTTTCAGGTGACATTGGTAGGCTACTTTTGCTTGTACATTCACAAGTTCTGCTGTGTCCAGGGCTACAGGGTGATAGCAGCATTTGGATTCGACATACGTCTTAAAATCAGTCAAAGGTTTGGGCAATGGGCGTGGTGGTGGTGGTGCTGTTGGTTGAGGCAATAAATCGGTTGCGTTTGGTCTTGTTGCTTCTGACAGCTGACTAGCATCTAAAGTAAGTTCGGGTCCCACTTTAGTCATGATATGATTTATAATCGAATGTTAGAGTAGATCGAAAATAGACAACTGCTGTTTTATATGTCTCGTTTAATCAATTCTATATAATGAATGGTTGACAGGTTGAGAGTAACATAAAAAGTATCTATCAGCATTTTATTTCTCTACTAGATGTTTTATAACGATAACGATAAGGCCAGCATAGACTCTTTTAAGTAGTTGCACAGGCACATTTTACTCTATACGATATAAAAGAAACACGTTTGAAATGTTGTATGGGTATGAGAATAATATCTTTCTTAACCACACACAGGATTTATGGATATAATATGTCAATAAAGATAACAATTCATTAACTTGAATAGATTATAAAACGATGCATTTCTTTGGACACATTTATGTCAAAATTTAATAATGTTTAATAGTCTCAACCTACTCAAATACAACATCGATAAAAGGACACATATTTTTTGTCGGAATAGGAAGAGTGGACTATTTGCTGCGATAGGCAATTTATTACTGGATGTAATGAATAGGGGTGACAAATTACCTTTACCATTCCCGGGTAACGGCAACAGGATTGTTACCAGTTACTCGAGAACGGGGTAATGGTCATACTATTGGGGATATCCTGGGGTCCTCAAGTCGTACTATTAGGGGGGTGCCTTGGGTGTGGGTGTGGGTGTCGATGTGGGTGTGTAGTGTTTGGAAAGTACTACGCATCCACCCACACCCACACCCATAACCCACACCCTTGTTCTGTTCCCCGTAGTTGTTTTTCTCTTTCCTCTTAGTGATATCTCAGGTAAAATTCTTTTTTTTCGGCGAAGTGTACGATTTCTTATGTCTCTCTATCAGTTATTGCGCAGGTTAAAACAAAAAAATAAATGTAATTTCGACTTCTTGTGTCTCTTTCCGTTTTTCTTTTGTGGTATATTGCATAATTAGAAGGAACAACTCAGTGTTCCACCTCTTATCATCTCTTCTCTTCATGAATAAATACACCTGTGTTTTCTCGAATAACGAAAACAAACAGAGTGAAGTCGTGTGACGAAAATCAATACAAAGTAATGTAGATAAAAGTCGTTGCAGTCTGAACAAGTTATCCTGGATAATGTCGACTGTCTCTATCAAGAGCACTAGATTTCGCTAATGTTTTTCGGTGTCAAGCTTTCAATTTTATATTGCTAATTTTTCTAGTCGTTTTTTTGATGGTATATGGTACGGGACGTTGTCAAAATGAAAGTGAATGACTTTTTTTTGGAAAAAACGACGAATAAAAGAACTAAAAGTGGCAATATTTTTCTTTATTACTCTTGTAGTGAGGCCCTGTACAGAGCCTCTATAACCCTAATATAATATAAGACCGAGTTCATATATCACACCTGTTTTATCCAATTGGAATCTGTATGGATCCCAGGTTGACAACAAGTGATAGTCTTTAAGGTTCCCATGTCAGAGTTAAATAAAAATATAAAGACAAGGGGATATTGTGAATTTTATTTCATTACGTGTTCACGATAGTTATTATGATTACTTATAGCAATGTTCGATCCTTTCTTATAATTTATTAAAAGTTTTTTTTTATTCTACTTTTCGAAAACATGTTTAGCTATCTTGAAAATCGCATGAACGTGTTATATTTCATTTGTCTGATCATCTTCAAGAATTTGTCTTCAAATTTAGCAAAATTCGTGTTAGTTAGGTTCCAGTGGTACGGGTGATGAGATATGAATTATTTTTAAATAGATTAGTAGTAAGCCATGTGATGGTAGCTAAATTAGTAAAGATGAATCAGCAAATACTATTGTTCATGCAGACAAATTTGAACCAAAACTTTGTTTTGTATATAAGAGCATCGAAACCTTTATTCAGGTAATAAAACAATTCTTTTTGACTTTAATATATCAAATAAAAAAAAACGGTTAATGATAAGCATCACTTCAAATAATGCACATTTCTTCTCTTTCGAATTTTTCTGAATAGAGCCCAAAACTTTTTAGATAACACTCTAGTTACTCTCCATTTTGACAATGATTTAGAAAAAGCTAATATAGAAAAATCGAAGAAATCTGAATAAAAAAAATCGTCAATTGATTTAAAAACTGTACATTTTTAATCAATTTTCTAAGCTATATCGAGTCATATATACATAAATGAAAAATAATATCTATTCGAATCTTATATTTTTTTTATAGACATTAAGTATTGATTGCCTTAAACATATTACAAATAAACATATTAAAATCAGAGACAATTCACGCAGAATTCGATCAACAAATCTCAGTTTCTCTTTTTTTTCATTTCATTTTCTACGACGCAGAATATCTTCTATAAAATCATTCGTATAATGGAATCTTTCTAATTTTATGTAATGATTCTAATTCATTTAAAATGAAAAAAACTATAAAGCAAATCATTGTTCATATACATTCTGTTTATTTAAAGTGTTTGTTGCATGTGTCACCTCGTAATGGTTGTCACTGTAAAATGTTGAGGTTGCATTGGTCGTATTCTAGTATTAGAATAACATAATTTCTTCAGTTGTATTACAATCTCAGAAAGACTTATCAAACAGACAAATGGCATTAATAATAGTACAATATAAACACCATAAGCAAAATAGACCATAGTATAGACAAAGAGAAAGTATGGATCGGTCCAAATTCGAATCAATCCGAAGATTGTCAATGGCAAATAAACAATCAACAAAAGAAAAGAAATCGAAAAAAGTTGAATAGCAAGTTTACGAGTAGTGCGCCAAGTGCGACCACGTCGCATCTTATATTTTTGATGAACTACTCGTAGAACGAGAAAAATATTAAAAATAAGCGTAAGAAGAACAGGTATAAATGAACTAATTATCCAATCAATTGAACTTATTATTGATTGATACATATAGCATGCACCAGAACACCATAGTTGACTATAATCAAATTGTTGTTGACATGGATAAAAGAAAATGAGAATAAAGTACCATATCAAAAGTAAGATAGATGGTAGAAGAATGGGTATATAATGTTTAATATGAATATTCATAATATTTTTGTAAAATATAAGAAAATATCGTTGAATTGAGGCTATTGTCATTATCCAACAACTAGATGGAAAAAGAAGATAGTTGATAAAGATCCAGAAAAGACAGAGAGAGTAAGATGATAGAATAAGTTTACCAAAATAAAGATAGACAAGTGTAATTGGTAATTCGATTGATGTAATCAAAAAATTGGAGATTAATAAACAGATTACACTGAAATAAAATTCATTATGTATTAATTAAAAAAAGAAACTAAAGACTTTTGAGTTGCATAGTTAGCGTTATAATTCACATAGTAAAGATTAACTAAAATACTTTATTTTTGAATAATTCATAAAAAATATAAATCACGAAATATCATTAACAACAATTAATATTTTTCAAAATATATATTTTATTGAAGCTGAGTCTTTGCTCACATTTTTGTTTTTATAATGATAAATAAATATACTAAAAACTATGCGATAGAAAAAAAAAATATGCAAAAATTTTTAAGTACTCTGAAATCTCTTTAGAATTATTTTAGAAAAATTTTTCTTTAATCTATTTTATCTTTTCTAGTTTTTGCATATGTTAAACTCATATATTGTTTCTCATTTTTCTCAATTATATATAACTACATTTTCTATTCATTGTATACAATTGATATACTTTCGTCATGTAATATAAATAAAGTTCTATATTCCATTTGGAACACGAGGGAACATTCCTCAATGTGAATCTCTATTTTCAATCGATTTTATGCCAGTTAATAGAGCTCAATGAGTTGATCATGATGGCATAAAACGTTCTTCCCTATAGATTGAGCTTTGAAGAGTTAAGTTGATTTTAACTTTAGAAAAATAACTGTAAGCTGTTATTTGGGAAAACTTCAGTTTATATGTTAGCCTAGTTCTAAACATTCAAAGTTTTAGCATTGAATGCGTCTTAATTGACTGTATGTATCGATAATAAAGATTTTTTGTGAATACTATTTAAAAGGCGTAGTCATTAAAGCCTTGTTAGACATCTTGTTTTGAATAGATTAACACTCCTATTGTGAACTAAACTAATATACAAGCTGAATTTTCTCAAATAGCAGCTTACAGTAATTTTTCTGAAGTTAAAATTGATTTAGTTCTTCATAGGCAGTCTACAGAACAGAAATCTTTATGCCATCATGATCAACTCATCAAGCTCTACAAACTGGCATAAAGCTGATTGCTACTAGAGCCTTACACTCGACGTCTTTCCTCGTCTGTATAATTATAGCGAATTGAACATATGACTTTAGAAAATAAGAAGTCATTGACACGTGTAGAAAAATTGCCAAGGTATAAAAAGTAATGCATTAAAAAAAAATGTTACTTACACATGATTGTGTAATTTTGCTCGTAATTCTCGTAATCATGCAAAATAATAAAATATAATCAAACTGCATAGAACCGAAGGAATTTGGCAACTGAATAAGACGCTAAATTTGAACATTCTACTGAATGAGGTATCCAATGTAGAAAAATCAGTATATTCGTAATCCATAGTCTCATTGCTGTTGTCTGTCATTTTCTTTGTTCTATCTTTCAATGAGAAGAATAATATTAATTTTGCAACTCAATCTTTTTTTTTATGTAAAAGCAGATTTTCTGTTAAAGACAACTTTAATTTGCAACGATCACAAGATTTTAATTCTAAATTTATAAATATATACAATAAGTGAATCTTTCAGGTAAATTTTGTACTTGAATAGATCAAAAAAATATAAAGTAAATTACATAACTAATTGAGAAAAAAATTCCTTGAGATTCTATTCTATAAAAAAATATTGCATGAACTATTAGTCTAAATATTCAATTTTGAAAATGTTATTCAACCTCATTTACATTGTTGTCAAAGTAAAATTTTTTTAAAACCTTATTAAAAATCAAAAGTTACATAAAATTTGCATAACATTTAAAATATTCTCAATCGTTTAATGTACATAAAATACCGCTAAAATTAATGGATTTCT